TGGAAGTTAGCAAAATGTTATTAAGCATGAAAAATCGTAATAGGTATACAATGAAATTGAAAAAAAAATAGTACTGAATAGGATTCAAAATAGGACTATATAAGTACTTACACCCACAGACACATTCACTTCATAAATTGCAAATTTTTTCATTGCATTTAGTGAACCGTACTGACCCCCATTTGCTCTTATACAAAAAAAGTAATAAATATAAAAATTTGTGAATTTGAAAAAATGAGATTGAAGTCTAAAGGCTCATTGTTGTAAGTAAGTAATTAGTGAAGGCGACGAATCGTTACAGACAATTTAATTATATTTTTAATAAGAAATTGTTGGAAAATCGTAAAATTAATTCATAAGGAGTGGGAAAAATTCAGATTATGGACATGTTAAATTTTATACTTAAACGCTACTGCGCACAACTAACTATGTCAGAAATTTGTAAAAGCGATTCGGGCCATTTAAAAACAAATGACAAGCAATCATTTTGAAAATTGTTTAATTTTTTGGTTTACTAAAATAAATTTTGTATTTTACTTTTTAGATTTTCTAGAATTCTATTTGAAACTTTGATTTAATAGAAAAATTATAGCATATTTTTTGTTTTATCAGCATTAACTTTTAATATAGAAAATGTCCTTTATTTTAAACCTGTTTTTTTGTAAGCCTTCAATTTACTTGTAATTTTCTTTTATATTATAAAATTTTAAATTAAATTATTACTTGTTGTAGGATAAAAGAATAAAGAAAATTTTCAAATATCTCTTAAATATTTTATATAATTAGGTTAAACCTGAGGCAAAATTCAGTTCATTTTAGAATTCAAGGTTATACTTGGATTTAATAATTAAATTATTTATATAGTTTTATAATCATTTTATTTATTTTCATATAAAGGCTAAATTTTTCAACAAAAAGATTTCAAATTAAGTAAAAAGGATTTTAAAATTAAAATTTTTAATTAAGGAAAATTTGTTATATTATAAGGTCATTGTTATGCCCTGAAACCTAAAACCAAACATCATATTATTCAACGTAAGTGCTGAAGAATTTATTTTAAAATCTTAATCCTTGTAAGAGTTTTCTATTTATATTTGTAATTAAGATCTATTGCTAAATTATAAAATATTACTTAATTCTAAATTACAAAAGAAAATATTTAAAATATAAAACTAATCCTCATATATGTATGTATATACTCGTATATGGAAATAAAAATAATTATAGATTATTTTGCATGAATGAATTTGAAATTTTTATTTAAAAGCAAAAAAAAATATTATCATTATTCTTTTTGTTTTCCAAGCTAATTTTAACAAATTCCATAATACCTATGGGTATTCACATATATGTAGGAAAATTTTCTAAATTTATTTTTAAAATTAAAAATTAATTATTTAAATTAAGTATTCAAAAATTTTTAATTGACTATATAGAAAACTCTGGAAAATTCAATTTGCCATTAATAAATGGATTAAAAATTCTATATACTCGTACATATATATCTATAAATTTTCCTTGATTATTGTGTACACATTGATGCTGAATAAATAATAAGCATAGTGTACTTAAATATCTCGAAATAATTACTAATTGCAATTTTAATAATAAAATTTTACTTATTATATATTTTTTTTTTAATTAATACTCAAGTGTAAATTATATGCATTAAATATATTATGTTTATTTTATATTTTTTTAAAGAATTTCATTAATTAAGTATTTAAAATATTTTAAATGTTAGTATAGAGCAGCGATTCTCAAGCAGGGGTTCACGACTATATTCGGGAACAGTATAAAAATAGTCGTGCGCGATAATAAAAAATTAAAATTTAATGAGTTTTTAATTTCATTAATTCTATAGAGGGAATAAGTAGTATAGATAAGTTGTTTAAGGAACATGAACAAGATAAAAGTTATTAAATATTAATGCAAAAATTTGAAAATTAAACAAGCGGAGATCGCGAAATCATTGTCAATTAATTATTGTGTTCGAATTGTAGTGGGTTTTGAAAAACACTGGTATATAAAATAGTATACATATACAAACAAGTACTTATAATTTTAATTACTAAATTGTTAAAACATAAGAAACTCACTACAAAATGTAAGGAAATTCGTAAATAAGAAGAAAGAAGTCAAGGTTTTTTGTTCTGCCGAAATCCTGTGTTAGTAAAACAAGAATTTTAAGAGATAAGTTATACCCAATTAAGAGATAGCTAAGATTGTGTTTATATTATATAAAATATTGTGCTTATATTCTGAAAGACAAATTCACTTGAAATATTAGAATATTATTGAAAAATTTTGAAGTTTTCAATATAGAATATTGAATTTTCAAATTGATTCTCTTCAGATGATTACAACACTCCACTACCTTACTAAGTAATACATATAAGTGTACTAAGTAATACATATTGTTCTTATAATGATTATAATGAAAAACATGTAAGATTTCTTAAGAACTTAATAATAATTAAAAAGCAAATGCTTTTTTCGAAAACAAACATAAAATATCGAATCATTTGTTTGACCTAAACCTTCTTAAGTAGGTACATGTAAGTACTTGGCTTCATTTCTTAAATTGGCCTCAACTAATAAATTATAAAATTTATAATGCTTCCTAAAATTCATTACAATTTTGAACTTTAAACTAAATTCTTCCATACTCTTGCCATAATGTCGGACTCTAAATTGCCTGTAAATTATTATATTTAAATAATAATGACTAAATGAAACACCTAAATAACATTTGAATAGAAATGTGCATTAAAACTTTATCTAAAAGAAAATTGACATTACCTCTAAGCATTCATACTTTAAATAAAATCTAAGTTTGAATTCAAATACAATAGTAAGTAAGCAGTCATGGACCAAACACAAAATATAAAGGCAAGACGCGCGCATATAAAGCCAAGGAAACTAAATTTATAATTTTGAATAAATAATTTTGAAAAAAAAAATTCAAAATTAGAAAAATCTTGAAAATTACAATTTATATTCGTAAAGAACATTTTAAAAATTATACAAAAGAGACTCATATTTTAAATAAAACATTCCATTTTTGTTTTTTCATTAAAAAGCAAAAAAAAAAAATTTATTAAAATTTAAAAACATTAAGTGCATAAATAAGTGATTGTTTTGTTCCATTGAAAATTTCAATATAGAAAAATATATAAGAAGTGATTTTAGAAAACCGAAAATATATTTTATAAACACCTGCAGAGTGCATACTTAGTTATGGCGTTTCATTTGGTTATTTTAATTTTAAAATATGCATTTTTAAGGCAATTATAGCTGTTCGATACTGTTTTAAAAATAAACAAAACAATAAAATGCTCCCAAAGTGAATAATAAAATTTGTAAATTATTGATTTCCAATAAATAAAGACTAATTTGAAACGCCATTCTTGTGGGGAGAGCCAAAACATAATATTGTTCTGGATAATTTTTAACACAATTTATTGTTTTTTTTCTTTTTAATTTATTTTTATATAAAAAAATAAAAAAACGAAGTCAATAAGATTATAAAAATTAAAATAATTAAGAGGTTTTGTAAGAAAAAATGAAGATGAATTCTGTAATTGCATTGAGATATTTGGTTGTTTCGTTGTAACTTTCAAAACGAGTGAACAAATTTCAGAGTTTTCAATATTCAGATGATCCCTAAAATCCATAATTTAAGAACAATTTTCTGAATCATAATATTAAGTAAAAAAATTCATTCAACTATAGTAGTTCTCAGTGATATAAGTGGAAAATCAATTAGTCATGTTTCAACTTTTGAAATACTTAAGTACTTTGCCTTTCTAATCTGAAATTATTTGTTCTTATATAAGTATACACATTCTCACATGTACCTTAGAATAATGTCAAAAATATTATTAAAATTGCATTTCTTTCAAAATTTTATCGAATTATTTCAATTTATTTTTAATAATAATTACTTAAGTTTATAGGCTCTAATCAGTTAATAAATTTTAAATTAGAACGTATTTGGAAAATTAAATAGTACTGGGCTGGGCATTAAATATGATTAATGTGTAATATTTTATTTTGTAAGCAGATAACTAGTAAGCAATGATTTGTAGGTTATTTAATCAACTTTGATCACAAATAAAAAATTTGAAATTTTTATAAAACTCATACAAATTTTCTTTTTTAGTTTGAAGTCTAAGATCAGGATTAATTAAAAAGAAAAAATTAAAAGAACATTCTTCCAAATTTCAGTAGCTTGTTAAAGCCTGCATATTCCAAATTTCAGAAGCTTGTGAATTTCATATTAACGTATTTTTTAGACTTCGAATGTTTTTCCGAAAAAAAATTTGTTAAAATTTTTTTTGAACGCTTTTTCTGAATTTAATTTAACCAGCAACTCGGTAACCGAATCGAGGAGAATTTTCCTGAATTTTCCTGAATTTTATATTTATCTTATAAGTATTATAGATTTAAAAAAAAAGAATTCAAATTTCTAGAACAATTTAATGGTATGACACTTAGTATGATACTAGACATACTTAGCCGGCAAGTAAGTAGCAGAATTTTCTTTATATTCTTGCTTTTAAAAATTTTTCAATATTTATAAAAATTGCGAAACGCATTCTTAAAAAAATTTGCTTAATTAAGTGCTCAAGCTGAACTTTTCTCAAACCATTCGATATTTTTACTCAATATTCGCATTACTAAACATAAAATTAAAATTAGTATGTATATTATGTTCGTAAGTATATATGTCCACTTCAATTCAATTTCTTTAAAAACTGAAATACAATTTTACAATTTTCAGATAATTAAAATTTTAAAGATAAATTGGTTGCCAATATAGTCAGAGAAAACTGGAAGATGCCTGATATACGTCAAAATACAGAGAAAACCTGACGATTCTAAATAAATACTTAGTTTTACTAATATGAGATGTTTAGAACTTACAACTAACTTAAAAATTAAAGTAAGCAAAATAGGTACTTAATATAAAAAAAAATAATTTTTAAAACACTTACCTTTTGATAACACATTTGTCTACAAAGATTTAATTCCCTAGATGTACCAGATGGTTGGCCATTGATAAATCCTAATAATGTTATTAAAAATGTTAATATTGATAACATTATTTTATTTAATGTTATTTTATTTTTATTATTGTAATTAATTGATGCCATTTTTCTTTTTTTTATTATTTAATTTTTTTTTTCTCACTTAATTGAAACTCTTGTTAATATTATTACTTATTGTATTATTAAGCAAATATTACTATAGATATAAAAATTTTTTAAATATTCTATAGATTAAATTTTGAATTACTTAATTTATTTTTTTTTGAAATATTTATTTTAATTGAATTTTCTTAAATAATAAAAAATTAATAAATTATTTTTTTAAATTCAATTTATTTTCTATTTTCTTTTTCACAATTACATGTCAAATATGCAAGTACATATATTTTGTTATTTACTTATATACTTATATAATCAATTACAAAGTATAAAAGTTGTATAATTCTTTATAAATTAAAAAAAAACAAACACAAAAAAATAAATACGATAAAATAATTTGATTTAATTGAATAATTGAAAATTTTAAAAAATAATTTTTTTTTTTTAATTTGTTATTTTTATTTTTTTTATTTAATTTTTACTTTTCAACAAACTATAAATTTATTTGTTCAATTTTTATATTTTTTTATTAAAAAATTTCAAAAATTTTCCTTATAAATTATATTGAAAAAAAAGGATATATTTTGTTTACATTTACGATATTAGGTAAGTATAAAAGTTAAATACTAAAAATTTAAATTTCAAATATTTAGAAATGTGGCCTTTCCTATAATAAATAAAAATAAAATAAAAAATAAAATCAAAAAATGATTTAATCATAATCAAATTTAGATTAAAAATAATAAAATAATTTTTTATTTAATTTTATTTATTATTATTTTTATTATTTATTTAAAATATATGTAATTTTGTGCCTTTTTTTCCCTCCTAATAAATATTAATCAATAAACTGTATGGAAACACAATATTTTTTTAAGAAATAAATTATTAAAATAAAATAAGGAATTAAAAATAAACACAAATACAAATGAAAATAAAAATTACAGAAAATTTTATAACAAAAATTTCATATAAGTAAATAATATTATTTTAAATAATTAAGTATAACAATAAGTATAACTATCTGTGTATATGTGTATATACAGTAAGTATATTATTTTATATAGACAAAAATGTGCTAATGCATGTTTTTTTTTTGTATAATATCATAAGTATCTAAAGTTTATAAAATAATTTAAATATGAAAATAATAATTTAGAACAAATTTAAATATTTCGTTGTATATTAAATAATTTTTCTCATAAAATATATTCCGTGTTATACTAATAGTCCAATGTGAATTATTATATAACTATAAGTGTTATAATTATAATATATGCATTTGAACTTGTTAATGTTTAATTATAAACTAAAAGAACACGTATTTATCCAGTATAAATGAAATATTTCAAAATAATTATAACTTAATTAAGAAAATATAAAATAAAACTTGAAAATTATAAAATTATAAATAAACTCATTAACAAAAAAATTTACATAGTTCTTTAATATTTGAATGTAATTTTATACTCAAAATTCACTTTTTTTTCCATAAATATTAAACAATAATTAATAAATAATATTAATAAATATAAAATAATATTTAAATAATTAAGTAATTTTATTCTTCCCTAAAATTAATGATCATTTATTCATAATTTGTTCAATTTTAAATTAATTTATTATTATTTTTTTGTTTGTAAATATTTAATAATTATTTTAAAATATTTTAATAAATTTATTGCAAAAATAACCAATTATAAATTATAAAATTTTAATTTATTACAAAAAAAAAGAAAACAAAAATGTTAAAATTTTGTAATTAATTACTTAATTATAATAATTTATATAATTATAATTAAGTTTAATTACTTAATTTTGAAAAATTCTTCCTTTAATTATTAGATTAATAGTATTTTAAATTTTACAATTTTTTTGTAAGTTTTTTATTATTTTATTATTTAAAATTATGAGAATTTTATTATTATTTTAATTTAATAATAATAGAAAAAAAATCACCTAATTTATTAAAATTTCTGTAATTTTTAATTTAGTTAATTAATAATTAGTTTTAATTATCTTTTTTTTTTCTTTCACCAATTTATTTTATTTTAATTTTTAAATAATCGTTAGTGTAATTTTATTATTTTAATTATAACTCTTACTCGTATATTGTACCATTTGTTTTCTATTTTTTTTTCAAATTGCTATTAAATTTCCTTTATTACTTATTTAAATAATTTTTGTTATTTATAAAAATTTCACATTTAATTTTTATATTTATTTAATTTATAATTAGAATATTTTTAATTTTATTTAATTATTATAATTTTTCAGTGCCCTTTTTTTTATTAATTCTTTCTTTTGTTTTCTTTATTATTTCGCACATTATTTAAACTATTATTATTGTATATATACGCATAACATAAGATTGTATGATCATTCACAATGTTATTACTTGTATGTAATACAAAAAATAATATAATAATAATGTGATGATAATGATAATTATGATTTTGTATTACATTATTTTTATGTATAATATTTATTTTATTACTAGAATAAAATTTTTAAAATAATAAATTATTGTTTAAATTAAATTGCATTGAAAAATTTTGTATAGCAATAATTATTTAATTTAATATTATTTATTAAATTATATAAATTAGATGGAATGCTTTCTTAATTATATTAATTATAATAACTTTATTACAATCATACCTTTTAATTATTATAATAATAATTTTTATATGAACTATTTTTATACAGCATAGTTAAATTTTTTCAATTCGCTTAGAAAAATTTTACGCGGTTTAATTTTTCTATACACTCGGTTGTTTATTTTAACAGTGGCAATGTAATTTTTTCTTTCAAAGAGTACAAAAAATAAAACACAGGAATAACAAAAAAAAAAAAATAAAATTTATTAATTCTCTGCGGTTATTTAAATGTTTTTTTTTTTTTATTTTAATATCATTAATTTTTTATTATATTTTATTTCTCTTAATACTTTTTGTTCAAACAAGACAACACTATAAAAATATTGTTGTTTCTTTTTGTTTTATTCTTGTTTGTCCAATCCAAATGCGAACTGGTTACGAAAACTTTATTTTGCTTTATTTTATTTCTTTAAATAATATTTTCGACTTCTTTTATGTAGTCACTGGTTGTAGCAGTATATGTCTTTGCAATAAAACGAGAACGAACTTTTTGTTTCTACTTTTTTTTTTATAATAAATTTTAATTTTGTTTGTTTTTTACAAGATTTTTTACTGCTAACATCGTCGTTTTACTTTTGAAAGAACGAGAAATATTAATATTTTATTTTTTTTCTTTTTCTCTTTTTTTTTTTTTTTAGCGGAAAAAATAATATCCCTTATAAAACACAGTACTCGGCTCGATAGTCAACGAAAAACTGAAGCAACTGGCTATTTAGATGTACCTTTAAAAATGAATATTTCTTTTTTGAAATTTTGTTGTTGGTTTTTTATGTTGTTTTCATTTTTCAATTTCATTTTGTGTGCAATTCCTATTCCATCTTTTTCACATATTATTATACAACATACATACAAACAATATACATAATAAATACATTGCAACATTTTGTTCAACATGTTTTTATTATTTTTCTTCTTTTTTTTTGTTTGTTTGTTTCACATTGTGTTTATAACTTTTTACTATAGCACAAACATACATTATTTTGTTGAACGAAATTATTTTTTCTTATTATTTTTTTCGTATCAAACTGTATTAAAGATTTGTTTGATTATTTTGTATTAAAGATAATTTGGTGTGATTTTGCACAAACAACAACAATGTTTGACATAATAAAAATTGTACGAAATTGAAAATATTCACATGTTTTATAATATTTAGATATTAAATATTATGTTTGCACCAACGTATTTTAATGTTTTGCTTAACATGTTGAATGTTTGATTACAATTTTTTGTATGATAAAACCGGTATTGATTCGATTTCATTTAATATTTATATCAATTTGTAATACACATATTATGTTAATTCTCTCATTTTGAATGTTGTGTTCAATTACTTTAATGTTTGAAGTGTTTTTTCTTTTGTATATTTTGCATTTTTTTTTTGTATGATAATACCACAATTTTATTGTTTTATAATTTTATTTAATTAAGATGCACTTTAGACTGCTTTTTTCGTTTGTTTTTTTTTTTTTTTTTGTTTCCTATTTGTTATATTATTTATAATATCACAATGCAATATAATATTTTTTAACATAACTGTTATTGTTTTGATTTAATTTATAAACGACAATTTTTTGTTTGATGTTCAATCAAATTGTTAAATTATTGATTTGGTGTTCCTCTTTCCCTTTTTCATATTTATTAAATGCAACACAAAATGCAATTTAGAAATATCAATACAGCTGAAAAGAAAAATGAAAATTATTAATACGGTGAAATAAAATTTTTTTTAGTGTATTATAAATATTATAACAACTTGCTTTGCAACATGTGTCACACTTAAAATTGAATAAAAATACTAAAAATAATAGATAATATAACAATATAAATTTTTAATATTGCGGTTAGAGCAGAAGGAATATAGAACAAAATATGAGATTATCTTTTATACATATAACATTAAAGAAACACAAAGCAACACAATGTAGTAAATGTGCTCTATTTGATTTACAAAATGCATAAAATATGATGAAGGCAAATTGTGAGAACGAGAGCAATGAAAATATAGTACAAAATCATGTTATAATAGTATAATAATTTTGTGTTGTGTCGTATTAAATGGTATAATGCTTTGTTAAAGGAATATGAAAAGGTGAGCACTAAGTTAAGTACAAAGAATAACTATTTTATATTTGAAAAACTCAGCGTAACAGAAATCTACTATCTCCCATAGCAAAATCACATCATACAACTAATATTATATTGTTAAACTCAAGTAAAGAAAAAAAAAAATTATGTTACAAATTTAATTGCATATTATTATAAAAAAAAAAAATTAAAAAATCAAACTTTTCTTAAAAAATAAAAAGAGTAATTCAAGTTTTGTTGTTATTGGCATTGTTGTAGAGTTGTTGAATGATTTGCCGGTATTTTTTATTTCTCTTATTTTTTTTTAGTAAATATTATATATTTTGTTATACATTTACATAATATAACATTTTCTCCTATAGTAAAGTTAAAGAACGATGAAACAAGTGCATTGCAACATAACACAATACATTTTTATTATATATATACGATACTCATATAAATATCAAACATGTTCGTAAATTTACATACATTCATACATATACATAGTTATAGTCAGCAGCATATATGTACAAGTAGTACATTTATACATAGAGAGCTCTTGGCTATTTTCTTTCTTAAATTAGTTTTTCTTTTACCTTCTATTATACATGAATTCATACATAGTGTTGTAGATATTTATGTACATATATATGTATATGTATGTATGTATTTTTTCTTTCTTAACTTTGCGATTTTTTTTTTAATACAACATGTTATGTTTTTTAATTTAAAGCAATGATTTTTAGTTTTTTTCTCTTCGTATGCATTTGCCATTTTGCTATTTGCATTATGCATATTAAAAAATATTGTAAATTTATAACACAATTATATAATCATATTCTTATACATGCATATGTAAGTATATATGCAGTACAGAGTATGCTTATTTCATCTCTAACAATACAAAAATTTTATATTTTTTCTTAATTTTTATAAAAAACAAATATTGTAGCAATGTTTTAAAAAATTATGCTAAAAAATTTATTTTATTTACATAAATATTTGTTCAAAGGATAATAGGTACATTAATATAATAAGGAACTGTTATACTGATGTGATTCTTGCAAAACTAACAAGATAAGTGAGGCGATACCGGTTATTATAGGGTTATTATTCTCTGTTGAGTAATTACCAAAATATTTTAGGTTGTTTACATAACATTTCCATCATTTGTATGGATTTGTTATTACTACCAAAAAGTTAAAACAAAAGTGAGAAAAATTTAAGGGGCTGAATAGAGGTATTTCCAGTAAGAAATAGAAAAATGATTCTCCCGTCAGATAGAAAGTTTTAAGTCGCAAAATATAATTATCATTAAAATAATTAAATTATTTATACACAGGCTTACAGGCTTCTCCTCTTTCATTCTACCTGAAATTAGGGTGCATTTTAATTAATTATTCTCATCGAAATTTTAAAATTATCCTCATTATGGGTTAAATATCCATTTAACTGCATTTTTGTTAAAAAAAATATAAAAAATTAAAATTGTATTTGCATTATTTAATAATTTTAATAAAATTTTTTTAATTTTCTTTTGACTAATTATAACATTAAGCATCTAAAATCTAATTGACATGTTTCTGACAGTTTATTAAGCAATAGGACCTATATAATTTATTAGATTGATAAAAATTTAATGAAATATATCTGAAGTTTTTATTATGTCAATATTATTTTTACAATAAACATTCTGTTTTCAATTTAAAGAGATTAATAATGGAACAGTCCAAAATCGGGGCTAGATAATAAATTTTATTTAACAAATTTTTAATAGAGCACAAAATTTCCATAAAATTTCCATAAACTTTGTTATTATGATGTCTTTATCAAAACATATATAGAGCCATGCAAGAGACATCTAAAATAAAAATTTTTAAACTAGTGTTTTAGTTACTAAGTAAATAAACTTTTTTCTTTCGAACCAATTTCATATTTCTAAATCATTTAATAAATATTTCGAATTACAGTACTAAAATATTGAATGATACAAATATAATTGTTTTATGCTTGAAAAATTTCTGTATAGAACAAATCTACTTACTAAAAATTGAAATAATTTTGAAAGGGAAAGAAACTCGTTCGAACATTTTGTTTAACATTATAACAAAATACTGACAAATGAATAAATCTCTTATATTGTTCGTTACGAAGAACAGAACATCAACTGTTAATTTAATCATAATTTAAGCAAGAATAATTATTATACTGTTAAATTTTCATTTATAATTAAAAATTCAACTAATTTTAATAATTTATTTATTAATTATTAATTAACAAATGTTTCAATATGTTATTTCAAACATATTAATTAATGAAATTCGTTGTAAGACTGTTCCAATCCTTATGAGTAACAGTATTATCAAATCCAACAAAATTTATTACAATTACAATACCGTTAAAGCTATTATTTTGTTCAGAATTTTAAGAGAATTTTTGTTTGAGCTTAATACACAATGTTTGAGTAGAAGCAATTTAAATTGTTTGAATTCATTTGGTATGATTACAAACTTCCTTTAATAAGAAAATATTTTCATATTCGAAATGTCACAAATCTATATAAATTGAATGAAGGATATGTGTTTAGATATATGCAATATTAATATGAATCCCAGTATCTACTATGTGAGGTTTAATTTTGTAAGAACTTTCAGCTAAAATAAAAAATTTGTTTAATATTTTAAACTTTCGAACATCGATTTGTAAAAATTTTTCATTTTTTAAAACTCTGCCTGAATATAACATCCTACATAATCCATAAATACTACACCTTCGATTGAACTTTGATTGTTTAAAAAAATTTTGTTAACTTTCGATTAACTTGTTGAAATCATACAATATTTTGAAAATGAAGAAAAAAAAATATTATAGTTGTATTAAATTAACAATAATTGAGCACGTGTTGAAAGGATAAAATGCGCAAGCGTTCATTTTTTGGAAACCATTTAAAAACGAAGATTTATTACTTTCTATACATACATAAATAAATTTTGGATGCATATTTTTAAAAATTTATTCTCATACAAGTCTCTTCAAACAAACAAATAAGTCGGTGTCATACTTATACAAACAATGTTGTGTTTAATATAGAGATAAAGCAACTGAAAATTATTATTTTCAATCAAACAAGTAATTCATTTATTTGTGCTTAATAACACTTGTATGAATCAAATTAATTAAATATTTTGTTACTTCTTAAGGTGTGAAACAAATTGTTCGAAGAACAACAAAATAAGAGTTTCTCAACAATAGAGTTCCTTCAAATAAAATTGAGATTATATTATTTTTGTTTGAAAGGAAAAATCCACAATTAGCTCTAGTTTAGAGTTCTTAGATTATCAAAAACATAAGAGGTACTTTAATCCTGTTGAATCTTATCAAGTATGATGGTTTGATCTTAATGCCTGAAAATTTGATATTTAACAATATGAAATAACTTAAAATAATGCTATTTTTTTGGTATTTTGTAGAAATCAAATTTGCTTTTCGATAAACTAGAATGACACCATTCCTGAATACTAAAACGAATTTAATCCGGATAACGTAACAAATATGGTTGAACTTATGTCTGGTGAGGGGAATAAATTTTTCAGCTATATATTTTCTTACATGTTACTGTTCCAGTTTAGGCTTTCTTACATAAATAATCTACTACTTTATTCTGATGATTCATTGCAAAACTTTATATTTTAAATAAAATCATGGCAAGCAATTTTTAATAAATAGTACAATTTCTTGTAATCAATAGGGAGTAAGATGCCATATTTTACAAATTTTGCCAATAGTTTTTCAAATAATTCAAAATTTTCGGAAATTTGTAGCCGATTTCTTGTACTTAAAATCATTGTATGTGGCTTGCTAGTT